AGCTAAATAGTAGCTTAATAGTAAAAAGGTTAACTATGTTTCCTGTTTTCATAGGAAGAAATACTGCTTGTTAACATCTGCATTATGTGTTGTATTACAGTTAAGTGTGTAATAGAGGCATATAAATCTATAGCTTTATATTGTATATTATTCTGTTGATTGCTCTGATTTTTTTTTTTAGGTGTATTTAGAGTAACATATGATGGGGTTGTCCTGCTTAATATAAAACCTGCCAGAGGAGTGGTAAAGCCAAAATCTGTAAGGAAGATTAAAGTGGATATCTGCACAGATGTACCCGGAGTCATCAAAGAAATGATGAAGTGAGTGTATGACTGAAGAAATATGGCTCTATCTATAAATTCCATTTTTGTCTGTTATTAATTCTAGTCTTTACTCTGAATGTTTATCTAAAAAACCTAGGTTCCTAAGTGTCAGTTGCTGTCTTTAATATTTAGTTTTATTTAATTGAATTTATTATTGTATTATATCCACAGAAAAGTGATCCATAAATTGTATACCTGGCCATGTTAATAAAAATCTTTCATAATTTGTAATGATTTGCGATGTTTGCGCATTTCTCAGAATAAAAATAACCAGGAGCTTTTTTATCTTTTACCTTTCTGCACATACTGTGTTCCTTAATTTTCTTAGCTTCTTTAACTGCATGTTTTCTTTTAACTTTGTGTTTCAGGAGTCTCAGAAACATTGTGGTGTTCTTTAGCGTATCTATTTTCACTGAATGGAATGTATTTGTAACACTGGACTAGATTGCTTTTAAATGCACACCTTATGGAATCCTATTATCCCAGCATGGTTTGGCTTGGAAGGGACTTTAAAATCTTGTATTTCCAACCCCTCTGCCATGAGCAGGGACTTTCCACCAGACCAGGTTGCTCAGAGCCCCATCCAGTCTGTCCCTGAACACTTCCAGTGGTGGGGAGCCCACAACTTCTCTGGGCAATGTGGGAATAGGGTGTGGTTGATTTGTTGGTTGTTTAGTTTTGGTGATTTGTGGAATCATCAAGATCAAGCTTCCAGGCAGGAACAGCTGCAGCTTTTTCATCCTTATTCAGATGAACTTCTAGCTCCAGTTCCCTACAAGAAAATTAGCTTAAATTTAAATTTCCACACAAGAAAATATGGTAATATTGGTATTTAGATACAAAGACTCCAAGGGATAAGAGCAGTGTATATTGTGTGTGGACACCTCCTGATTCTTTGCAGATGCCATTCTTACAGTTTCAAAGATTTTAAAAAAGTCAGAAACCAAACCAAAGCAAACCCAGAACTCCACCATGAGATGTGTGATTTTTCCTGATTGCTGATATTCCTATTAAAGCATTGTCAAGGACATCTCACTTAGCCTGCTCTCCCCCTTAGTTTATCTATGGAAAGCCAGTAATTTGAATGCTTGGATTGGGTCTCTTTTTTGGCACAGATTCTAATACAAAGCAAACTAACCAATCTGATTATTTCTAACGCTTCCCTACATTACCTGTTGCTGCTTGCTGCTCTTTCTGGAAGAGTGGAGTTGGAAAGTCGTGGCTTTACTGAAGTATGGATCAAAGGTGTTGTGGTTGAACAAGTTCTTAAAGTTCTTGGAGTGTCTTGTGGAAAAGCACTGAAATGCATTAACTTTGGACCTCTTTACTTTGGAACTTCAAAGACTGAAAAAGTATTTTTATACAATGAAAGCTCGGAGTGTGTGGATTGGGTAGCAGTACTGGAAGACAATGCCATTGGAGAAGAGATGGTAAGGAACTGCTCTGGTTTTTATTTTAGTTGAAAACTTGTTTTCATTTCTTCTTTTGCATTTTTTATTTCTCAACATTCATCTTCTTGTCTTGTTTACTATGTCATACTGATCAATGGTCTTTCTGAAATGTCTGTCCAACCAACACGTTTTTTATTTCAATTTAACCCTAGAACTGAGTTTTTCAATTATTATTTACTAGGAGTTATCAAAATACAATTTTGGTTCTAAGATATTAATAATCTGTGATTTCACTTGTTTTTCTCAGATAGTGAAATAATCTGAAAATCATGTTTAAAAAAGAGAATTCAAGACATTGACATGAAATGGATTTAGAAATTGCTTAAATAGCCATGTGCTGTTAAATAGCTATGTGCCTGCTATTTCCTGTGTTATGTCTTTCTGTTTGTTGTGCATGAAAATGTACAGAAGGAAAAAAAAACACAATAGGGAAAGCAAAACAGGCTGAAATATTCCATATTTTGTTTTTTGTTTTTAGGGGACAGATCTTCAGGGGAATACAGATGCTGTTCTACATGACTTAAGCCTGAAAAATAAAGATTTAGATGTTTCCACCTTGATCTTGTGCTTTCCCAATCAAGGAACTTTGCCTCCTCATGAGAAATCTTTGATTACAATCTGCTTTAGTCCAGAGTGAGTGAGTGAGTGATACCAATTAAATGGTATCACACACATGCACACAATTTTCTTTTATGCTGTTCTCCAAGAACTGTGTTAGAGAAAATAATTTTGAGTTAATATGTCTGCAAATTATTTCTGACTAACTTCTTAAGTATTTATGTGTGTTAAACAAAATTTATTGGTGTGATTCTGCAAATAAGAAAGCAAAGCTTGAAGTGTTTCAGTGATTTTATGTTTTATAATACCCTAGGGGTGTATTTGAACCAAGAACTGGATAAGATGGTTTTGTGAGAATAAGAATTTTATTAGATTTTGCCATATATTAACTGTCAAGAGAATGAAATATTTTGGAGAGCTGTCATATCATTAAAAAAAAACAAATAACCCAAAACAAAAGCAAAAACTAAACAAACATTTCTTCTTGGATAAGGAAAAGAAAAAGCAAATGTGCCATTGCCATTTTCCCTTACTTAAACTCGATACAGTATGCATGTGGTACTAGTTCAGAAAACTGTTGTAGACTGGAAAAGATATCAAATTACTAGTATAATAAACACATAGATATTGGTGAGCTGAAATTTGTTACTATTTGTATTTTCTGGTAGGAAATATAAAGATCATTCGTTCAAGCTGTTACAACAAAGAAGCTAGACTGGATGTTCAAAAATATGTCTTGATTTTTTGTTGGTTGATTTTGGAGGTTTATTGTTCTTTCCCATCTTTTAATTCGAGATTGTGACTCTTTCAGAAAATTTGAAAGAGAGTTTGAAGTGAATGATGCATCACTGATTCAAGATTATGTCCTGTTTCTGAGATTTGAAGCTGTTGGGGAGAGAGGTGACTGTCTGCAGAAGCTCAGTGGTGGTGCCACAGCAACCACAAGTATGTTAGAAATGTACAGTCACCGTCAGAAATGTATCTATGGATGACAAAATTGTATATCTTCATTTTTTAAAAAAAAAACTTAAAAAAATTCTTGGTTGTCTTAATAGTTTTATGGTAAATCTGCATTTTTTGTTTATTTATATCAACACAAATAAATTAACTTGCATCTTGAATGCTTCAGCATTAAAACCTCTTTGAATAGTGAGTAGAGAGGAGTGATTTTTGTGTGTCATGACACACCTATCACTTAATTATAAATTATAATAATTATAAATGCAAATATGTGAAGGAAATGAAACACCCTCAGCCATTTGCAAGTCACTAACACTTTGGTAATACCAGTTTTGTGCATTTTCAAGTGCACATTTGATCATCTTCAACTTTCTTATGGAGGAAATGCGTTATCTAACAGCTGTTAGAAGTAAAGATCTCTGTGTTAGGTTTATAAAAACTGCATTATAAAACATACTTGTTTATAGTATTATTTTGTTTTTGTGACTGTACAAGTACAGCATGACTTTCCTGTTAGTGAGATAATGGGTGTGAGAGGGGTTTTGTTTGTTTGCTTGTTTTTGTGTTTGTCTAATGCAGGGAGTTTTTCTCGTCATGTGGACTTAGCTTTGATGGGTTCTGGGTTTCCTGTGATATTAACTTTTAAGCCAGGAAGAGTAATTCATTTTAAGGACTGTTATTTGGGTGAGCAAGCACAAGTTGTGTGCACAATGAAGAACGAATCTGAGTTCCTACCAGTAACGTTCAGCTTCCGCAAGACTGCTCACTTCAATATTTCTCCTGAAAGAGGAAAACTTAAAAGAAAATCTGAAAAGGTAACTCCCTTTTTCTCTTAGGTTATGTAACTGTGCAGTTTATTGTACAGTGGTTAGCAGTGGACTTTCTTGAAAGTAAACCAGAGGAATTTCATTTCAGTAGTAATGGCATTTAATACCAGCCAAATATATATATTTTTTATTTTGTACAGTCTCTTAATGTTCTTTTCCTACTCCAGGAAGCAACAAATATTATTTTAAATTAGGAAAAAAGATTGGAGTATTAAGGCAACTTTGCAAGGGTTTTTAATATCTGTAATTTTGGATTTTATTTTACTGATTTGATTTATACTCGAATATTTTTGAAGGATACTTTTAATTTGTTGTTATTTTTAGTTTGTTTCGGTAAATCACAAGTATTCAAGTAAGGTAAAATTTCTTTCCGTGGAAGAAACTTTGCCAAATAGTAAGTCAAATATAAAAAGGTTTACAATTTCCCAAACCAGTAAGTCAGGGCACAAGGTTTCTCTCAGAACTGGACAGAACAACTGAGACTTTGTGTTCTTATGTGTCACATTTTTGTTACCTCATATTGCTAATTTTTATGTGCCTCTTGGCCTATTCTGCAAGCCCAATTTTGAATACCTGTCTTAAAGGTAACTGTGGAGAAAAGTGTTTCAGGGACTCAATCATATACAGAATTACACAAAACTTGACTCTATATTGTCTCATATGTCTCATAATGAGTTTTCTTTTCCAGGAAGTGATGATTTCATTTTCTCCACATCAAATAGGAGCATTTGAGATGAAGCAAATTATTGATATCATTGGTACAAGAGTAGATAAAAATAATGTAGAGGTTTTGAAGACAAAATCCTTTCATCAGATATATTTGACCTTACTTGGTGTGTGCAAATCTAAACAAACAAGCATTGTATTCACAATTAATCCTGGTAAGATGCTAAAAACTTAAGTCACAAGTGATAAAATGTTTTAAAAGTACATTTATAGCATTTTAAAAGAGATTTTTTTTCTATTTTGAGTTTGCTTGTAAAAAGTAGTATCTCTTTGGGACTGGAGGGAATGCTCAGTTGTATGACATATGTCCCATAAGACTGCTGAAATAATGGTACACCCTCCCATAATTGTATAAAAAATTGAACTTCTAAAGCACAAATTTTCATAATATGATTACCTGACTTTGATAAGGTTCAATTTTTGCAAGCAGTGCCACTGCACAGTGCCAAGTTGTTTCAGGAGTAAACAGAGATATGTAAAGCCCAGGAAAGAGCTAGGATGGTAACAGGATGTTCTTCATTGCTTCAAAGTTTCTACTGCCAGATGAATTTGCCAGTTCATGCAGCCTACTACCGGTCCTGTGTCCACTGACTCTTCCCATCCTGTGAAGCCTGAGCCAGCATAAAGAGTCTTTCAGGATATGCAATAATTAGCCTGTAATTTGTTCTTTGTGTTCCAAACGTTTTCCATGAACAATCACTTTGCAGTAGATTTGACTAAGCTGGATTATAACCCTGTCATGGCAAACATGATTTTTTTTGTACATCAAATGTGCTGCAGCTGCTGCAGCACCAGTGCAGTCGCCTGACCTGTTCATTGATGCATGTGGTGCCTGTGTGTAGATCAGGAGGGGAGCATGAGTTCTCTTTAGCTGCTGTCAACTTGGGGATGTACTTCCTAATGAGAAACAGGAAGGCAATACCCATTTTTTTTCCATTGTGGGAGAGTAAAAAGTGGAAGTTGCTGGAAAGTCATGAGAAAGTGCTGTTCTTCCTAAAAGTACCAGAATGGTTGATAAGCCACTGGGCATTCCTTCTACTTTCAGGAAGGTATTTCCAATCCATGGCTGTCAACAGTTGATGAGAAACTGAACTTTGGCAATTTCTTTGTTTTATTTTTGAAATCCAGAGCTGCCTCAGTTTTCCTGCTTCAGAAACCAATTAGAAGCGTTTGTTTTTGTTTTTTTTTTTTTCTGGATCAAAAATTTGATGTAGTGCTTGAGTTTTTCAGGCTTTCTACATACTCTTGTCTACCATTTCCTCTATTAATGTCCCCATTCTGGTCCCATTTGTAGGTTTATAAAAATGTTACGAGGGATATCTGTATTTTGCTTTTTAGCTTCATTGAAAAATGGAGGAGAAATGATTTTGTTTTTTTCAGATCCTTTTCTAGATAGTTCTCTGTCGTCCTCTTATCTTCACTCAGTGCCTGGGGATGAGTAGGTGTACTTGTGTCTCTGCATTCAGGTGGTGGCAGGGGAGAGACAGGAATGAAGCTTCTTTCAAACTGTGCCTTTCTGGCCAGTGAAAACTGTAATCACATCTGTGACTTAGAAGATGGAATACAGTTTTTGATTTTTTTGTTGATTGATTAAAGTATAAGGCTAAAGTGGGTAAAAGAAAAATTTTTAATGAAAAATTTGTATTTTTTTTTTTTTTTGCAGGTGAGGGAGTAAAGAGCAGTTGAAGTTTAACTTTATTCCTGCCATAATTTTCTCTTTAATGTTCATATATATGTGATTTTCTACAACTAGAGTGAAAAAGATCTGAGCTATCTTTTTAGTTGTTCTACCTGGGGAGGTTTTGTCCAAATTCATGCCTCTGTTTGCAGCCCTTAAGACAAGCTTTAGGACACTGGTGACAGGCAGCTCTTGAGTGTCTGATGATGTGTCTGTTCAAGCATCACAGCTGGACACAGCTGGTTTTAGCTCTGGTGTTTGTTTGTGTGATCCAGGCCAAGGGAAGCAGTTGGCTCTTGGCATGATGTGAGAGGCTTTTTCCCTCTTGTCTGAAGAAAACATTAAGGGATGGGTGACTGACTATTGTGCTGCTGGGCAGACTGTTGTAAATTAGATATATTTTTTAAGAATTTGAATTTTGTGTAGAAAATATTAGTTTATGTTTTATTTGAATTTTAAGGTCTAACACCGTTGATTTCCAATGCAACTGGACAATTTGCAGTTCGTGGCACGGGACAGCTCAGTGTTACAGCACCTGTGGCAATCCTTAAATCAACCCAAACACAAATTCACATTCACCGGAAAAACAGGAATTGTAAGGATGATGCACTTATAGCTTTTCCTAATGATCGTGCAGCCAGCCTTAGGCCTAGTGAATGGAACAAAACATACAGGTAAAAATTATGTGAATCTAGTATTTAAACCCACACATTTATATGTATCATATAGTAGATCAAGATTGGTTACTCATATGACAGCTCGCTAGGTTTTTTTTCCAGGCTGAAAGTACTTTAAAATTCATTGCATTCTTAAGTCTCTTGCACATAAATTTATTGAGTTTTCTTGTGTGAAACTACAAATGTAGCTGTTAGACTTGCAATATTTCATTTTTATGGTTGCCTTGACAAGGTCAAATATTAATAATCAGCTGTGATAAAAAGAATGTTTGGAATAAAATATGTATGTATCAAAATCAATTATGTTTTCATTCTAACAAGACCCAGTATCATTTTACATGTGTAATAAAACTACAATTATCTTTAAATATTTAGGACTATTTTCACAAAGACTGAGAGGTATAATTACATAGACCCAGAATTTGCTTATACTGAGTCTGAAAGACTGTTAAGAGAAGAAAATAGGAAACACTATATAAACTTCATTTCCTGTTTGAGACAGCATCGCTTAGAGAAAGAATCTGCTAGGTAAGACTTGGTTTAAAGGGTAAATAAATACTTTAGGCTCATACACAAAATATGTGAATATACATGCAGAATTAACTAAATGGCACCAATCATATACATAAATTTGTCCTATGCCAGTATGCTTATGATATTGGGACTTTAATTTATAATGCATTCAAAACCTGTTTGTTTCAAGTATTTAGACACATGGAAATCACTTCCTGCGTGAAATGTAGGGATAGAGGCAGGGCACTTGAAATTAAACTTAAAGTAAACATAAATTAAGGTGTCAAGTTTTAAGAATACTTGATTATGGTTAACAGGAGAAAACATAACATTGATTGCTTTGGATTCTCTTTATATAATAAATATGTATTTCCAACTAGGATGTTTAGCTCACCCCAAGTGATGGATTCAGTATGTAAATTATTGTATATTCTGTGGACTGAAGCAGATACAATCCTTTAATCTGACTGCTCCTCTAGACTTATAGTAAAAAGCAAACCAATATAAGTATTTTCGAGGTATTTTCTGTGCTTCAGGGTTTTTTAAATAATGAAATATTCCTACTTAAAATATTAATTGTTTTGTTTAAAAATATTAAATAATTTAATGTGTAGCTCATGGAATGCTCAAACTTTTAGATTTCCACATGCTTTTTTTTTTTCCCTTCCCTGTAGGCAGTTTTATATTTATAACACTTCTGTGAGCATAGGCATTAAACCAGCTGAAGGTCTGAAGTCACCAACAATCTCAATCGCAGATTTTCCCAAGGAGAAGCCACAGTCCAGAATGCTTCCTTTAGATGACAATTGCTTGTTAACTAGTCGAGAACTGGCAGCAATTCTTTCTAAATCTACAAACAAAGGAGTAAGTTAAACACTTGAGTAGTATGCTAGCATAATGTGTTTATCATATAAAAAAATCAGAAGAATTTTGATTCTGCTCTAAGGAGGTGACTTGTGCTTATCACAGGTTTGGAGCTGGCTTAGTCCCATGCCATATTCTACCAAGGAAAAGGAAGATTGTCATCTAACTTTGACACACAAACAGCTTCATCAAATATTCATTGGTAAGGGTTTTAATTTGGTTGTTAAATACATATAGTTGTTAAATACTAGTTGTTATAAAACAAGTTGTTATAAAAACACTTAAGTATAGTAACACAATTTATGATTATAGTTGTTTACCCTAAATAGAGAACAGTTTAATTTGGTAGGCAGCTTGAGACCTGCAGTAGTGTTTGACTAAAGCTTTGTAATTCTCAGCAAATACTGAGATATGATTAGGTATGAACATGTAAAAGAAGAGTTTTCTTTAAAGACTGCTCACAACCTCTTACAGAGAGGTTACATAGTATGAGAGTTACTCATACCTTTAGGCCTTATTAGTGGATAGTACCTGGACCAGCATTAATATCAGCAAGATTCATGGAAGTGCTCAGAATATTTCTGGGAATTCACAGTGAAGCTCGATGCCCCCAAAACTTAAAACATCAGGATCCTTCATCAAAATAATTTCAGGGTAATGTTCTGTAATGGGGAGCAACACCTTATAGAACTTCTTAGTGACTTCTTAACAACAATTGTTGCTGCAACAGGTGTATTATAAGGTCAGCTTTTTTTCAGTAAGATTTTTTAGCAGAAAAAAGAATTTTAGTGCTTCCTGGGCTTTTTTAAATTTTCAGCAATCCAGAACTTGAACAGTGTAGCTGTGTAAACTGATATAGTTGGGAAAAGGTAGAACAAGATAAACATAATAATACAAAAAGTACTGAGAGTTTCTTAAGATGTTTGATTAGTGCCATGAGTACTCAAGTTTACAGACCAGCCTAAAAGCTACTGATAGCAGTAAACTAGGTAGGGAACTAAATCTGTGGACCATCACATGACATAAATTATTAAACCAAATGGTCACACATCAGGGACCAAATGGTCACACATCAGGGACCAAACCAACAGGTTGCATACATAAACTTCCAGTGAATTGGTGGTAATTTGTCCTTTTAAATATCTGCTTAACAAAAAGAAGTACTTATGGTTATTAACAGTCTTGTTAGTGAGCGCATTGATTTCCTGTTTTATCAGTTGACTAAAACAAGCACAATTTAAAAATAAATGTTGCTGGCTTTTGACTTGTACTGCTGAAAACACTCACAGAACATGGGTGATGCTTACTTCCACATTTTAGTGATAATTTGTTCCACTACAGGATTTTTGTAGATGCCTAAGTTTGTAATTGAAGAACTAATGCACTTGATCAAAGTATTTTAGTAGTTTTGTTTCCTTACATTATCTTTCACCTTTTAATGTTGAGGATCTTTTTTCTTACATAATTCAGGTCCTTCTACTATAGATTTTGGTGAGGTTTGTGTGTATTCTACAACAACCAAAGAACTGCACATCATCAATAACTTGTCAGTTCATATTTGGATACAAATTGAGATTGAAGTTGAGGAACTGAGGGAGACATCTCCATTGTCTCAGGTGGTGCCTCCTCTTACAAAAACTCATATTCCAGTTGTGTTTGAGACGACCACTGTTGGAATGTTTAAAAGGTAAGGCTTTTTATATTTGTCTTGATTTACACATTTCTTGGCAATAGTAAAATATTGTTTTAAGAAATCACCTGGCTGATTTTAAAGTAGTCAGGGTAATTGTTAATGGTGTATACTCATCTATGGTGACATTGCAATGATCAGTGCAGTTTTATGTTGCAAAATTTTCCTAATGCAGTACTTTTTCTTGGTTTTTTTTTAAACCACAAACAAAAATCTGTCCTGTGAAAAGCCTTATCTAGCTAGAGATGTATCAGGGAAAAAAAGTTTTCTATTATGGTGTATTTACTAGGGAAATTTCTATGGAAAATACTGTTTTCTTTCCAGATCAGCATTGCATCACTCGTATCTGTGCTCAGGTCTTTTCATGCAGCTCATGAGAAAATGTATAAAAAAACTGTTCTCTAGCCTGCTGGTATTAACTCTCTGTTTTTCTAATGTTAAATGACTGTGTGAGGCTGATCATCCTTTAAGTCTTAACTTTGTGTTTGCACTCAGTTGTTAAGTGTTTTTTTGCTAGTGGCTATATTTCATGTAAATTTAACTGTGACTGTAACATAATAAATGCATAAGAATATTGTGAGATATATATTTTCATGTTACAGATCTTTGAGTTACAAAATAAACAACCGACACATTGGACATGTGCTGGTAGTTGCACGTGCAATGCCTATTGAACTTCAGCTGTCTACAAGGGAACTGATTCTGACTCCTGTTCCTGGCTGCCTAGCAGGGACAGAGTTTAGAAGAACTGTCAGGGTATGCAATCCCAGAAACTATCCTGCTAGCTTTAGTTGGAAATCTGTAACTGGAGATAGAAAATCTGCATTTACTATAAAGCCAATCAGAGGTATGCTATGCAAATACAGTGTGTGTATGCATCTTGTATGTCAACAGTTTTAAAAAAGACAAACACTTAGCTGATGCTGTAAACTATATTTTTAGATTTCTGTCAATATCAGTGTGTCCCAAAAACAGTATCAGGTCACAGTGAGCACCACAGCAGCATTCTCTGTGTAAGCCCTGCCCTGAATCTATGCTCCCTGCTTCCATGACCAGCCAGCAGTGCTTGTGTAAACATTTTTCTCAGCACAGATTGCTGACATTTCAATAATGGGGTAGCAACATCTTACAGCTCATCAGGATAGGAAATTTTCCAAAAGCACTGGATGAAGCTGCTAAAAAGTTGATGAAGATTGAGTAACATAAATGGAGTTCAGTCTGGGATTGGTCTGCATTTGCATCATGGATCAGTGTTTGTTGCATGTGTGTATAGTTTTTACCTTATTCTCACTGAAAAATAGTATTCTGCAGGAGTATGTTGGATCTCCATTATTAAAAAACAAACTTCTAACTATATTGGATTTTGGTGCTTTGATTCTTGAGAAAAGATATTTCTGCTAACAAATTCGGACTCAATTGCAAGCAAAAAAGTGTGTATGATCTTTCCCCCAGTTACTATTCTGCAAGAAAGTCTGTTCTTTTATTTTTGTTTTCATTAGAGTAATTCATGGCTAAAAATACCAGTAAACTTTGAGTATGTTTTATTGCAGGATACTAACAAATAGATTATGCAATGGTCATGAGAATCCAAGACCTAATTTTCCTTAATTCATCAGACTGTTCAGCACCTAAGAAATGTAGTCTTACATGCAGTAATAGAAGGTCATTTCACATTTATGTATCTGCTATTTTTAATTATACAGTGTAATTTGACAGTTGTACATGTGTATGCTATAACATCTAAATTATGTACATATATTTAGGGTTTGTGGAGGCCTATAGTGATGTGGAGTGTGAAGTTGTTTGGCATCCAGGGTTCAACACTCTAGAAACAGGACAATTCATCTTGTCTGTGCGCAAAGGAAATTCAATTCACTTGAAATGTTTTGCAAAGGTAACAATTCATGTGGCCGCTTTAGAGAAGAAAAATGTGGGGATTTCTTTAAACAAGTTTGGCATGACAGCTTAATGGTCTGTATATATTATGGGCTAATATTGTGCTTGCTTTGCCTAGTTTGACTAAACATATGTTGAGAGATTATACAACAGTTTTTTAGATAGATACTATTTATTAAAGGAATAAAAATCTAGGTGTGTGTTTCAAAGTTTCAAGTTAACAACAGACTCTTAATTGAATTCTGTGTTGTTATTTGAACATGGTATTTGAGAAGCAGTGTTCTGGGTAGTCTTCTAAACAGTGACATTCAGATTTGGTTAGTTATTTGTTGTCTTCCATTGCATACTAGGGAGTATAAAGAAGAAAGACTTTTTCTTTTTTTTCACTCTATTCTAATGGGTACATGTTTTAGAACTGTTATTGGGAGCCAAGAAAACTTTTCCCTTTCTTTTGATGAGCCTGTTTTTGTTTTTAGTTTTTTTTTTCCTAGTAGATATTTTTCTTTTCTTCCTCTTTTGAAGTCTTGTAAGTTTGCCATATGTAAATCAGGATGCATGCAAATTACAATATTTGTGTTTCTATTGCTATTAATATCTCAGAAATATCTTGTCCTGATCACACATTTGGGGTTAATAAAGTTTGTGCTGTTAAATTTAATTAAAAAAAATTTATTGGTCTTGAAATAAGTCCAGAAGTATCAGTAGGGTTGAGTCTATTTAGTCTGAATCTAGATAAGTTCAGTAGATTAAATAAATCTTGTCTCTCACTTAAGCTGTGTTTTCCTATTTGAATACTTCCAATTTATGTATTTGCACAAATATATTAACTAATTATGTAATAAAAAATTAGGCAAAATTATTTATTTGTGTGTAGGAATATGTTATATAGTTTGCTTGTTTTATCTCTCTCTTTCTTTTTTAATAGTTTGGTACTACTAGAGTTCAGTTTATGGCCCAAAATATATCCTTTTTTCATAGTCCAATTGATTTCACTACTTGTAAGACAGCCACTATTCTAAACACAGGACACAACCATGCATACTTCCAAGTAAGAGACAATTATTTCTAGCACACTTAATTCCTTGGGTTGGGGAGCAGAAGGGAGTTAATTTTACCAGATTGTGTTATGGTTTTGTATTTTCAGTTGTTAAATATGTACCTGTTTAGGTTTTTGTGATGTTTTCTGGAGAAATAAGATTGATGTAAATAGGAATTCTGTCCCTCTGTCAAATTTGCACTGATGGGTAGATGGGACAAGAGACAAGCAAAGTGGTGATGGCCGAAATGATTCTGGCAGTTTTCTGAGAGCCAGGGGTGAGGGTGGAACCCCATACTGGGGTACCCTATGGAAAAGCATTTATTGGATGTTTTCCTGCTTTGAGAGACAGAGCAAACTGGCTGGTTATCCTACCCATGCTGTCCAGTCAGTGCATGCAGGCACCCAGAGCTGTCACAGCACATTGGGATGACTTTGCTAAACCAACATCCAGGGGTAAAAAGGGCTGTGCAATGAATTGAGGAAGGGATGAGATAGGTGCCAGAGTGGGTAAAAACATAATACACAAATTATAGGGAACCTAACCTATTAGTTTTGCTGATCACAGGGTAATTGCTGTATTTAGTGGAGGAAAATAATTTTCATTAAAACCTTCAGAGTTTTTGTTACTGAATTATTACAGTGCTGAGAAACATGCTAAATTTATTTTGATTTGTACCAGATTTCTCTTTTATCAATGAGCATTGAATAACAAGTAGTAACATAGTGTTGGAGGCTGGGCCTGAAAGAGTCAAATCAGCATAGCCAGTAACATAAACAAACATACCCAGCCTTTTTAGCCTCCAGAATTACTCTTAAACCAAGACATAGCTGGTTGGTCTTGGTCACTATCACTTGTGTATCTACTTTAAAAATCTATCTGTTAGGAGTGCATTAGAAGGGAAAAAGTTCCTTTTGGTCTTAGCTAACTGTGGGTAAACTGAAAATTTAATTCCAATATTATTACAGAGCTATACAGGATTGGGGTTCTGTGTTGCATCTTACTGTGAATGTCAAAAAAGAAGTGAGGAATTTGTCATAGAAAAAGAACGTTTTGTAGAATATTTTAGACTTGCTAGATAGCAAGTCTTAATTTTGATAACTTAATATAAACAACCCAAAACTCAGAACTCCAAGTTTCCAGTTGGTGAAAAAAAGTATTTCATACTAGAAACTGACAGTTATGTTTAAAAATCTGTTACTTTCTTTTGTTTACTTGCATTTTTCCCCAAATTAAGTCCAAGTTAGCATTATATGCTATGAAGGTTCTCCTTGTAAGACTATAAAGTCTTTATTTTAGATATATTGGTATAAATAAAACAACAACAAGAACAAAAACAAATGAATGCAAACACCTTTTTTCAGTATGTTTCTTGTTTGTGTTTGTGAAGGTTCTTGACACAAACCCACTGCCTGGAATGAAAATCACCCCCTCTGTAGGAGTGATACCTGTGGGAGGCGTTGCTGATCTCAAAATCTCTTTCTCTCCAAAGACACACATGAATTTTGATAAAAAAGTGGAGGTATTTCAAAACTGGAAGAACTTTGTCTTTTGAGTGTTATCCTGTGTGTTTGTGTACGTATGTTCATGCCTCTTTTGGATTTTATTTCCAGTGTTCTAATTCTTTTTAAGAACAAGGTTTTCTTGCAGCAGATCATTACTGCTGTAACCTATTCTGGTTTTTTTTTTGTCTCAGTCCTGCTCAGAAGTATCAAAGCAGCCTCTCAGTTTGAGCTAATGCATATTATACCACTGCCAAGCTGTTGGAAGTAATATGTGATTGCTCTTTACAAGATAATGTAGACATACCTGCAGTTTTTGTAATCTATAGAGAGGCAGGATTGGAATACTCTTACATTTTTAATTTCTTGACTTTTTTCCTGGTTTTCTCAGACATGGCTCTCCTAGTAGATTTGCTTTGATAGTAGGTGTGCAATAAACATGTAACATTTTGTTTTCTGCCCTTGTACCAGCACCTCTGTCAAGCAATGTGTGTTGCGATACACATTCCAATCCTCACAGCTGCTGAACACAGATTCCTCCTGGTGGAAAAAACTGCTCATTCTATTAACACAGCCTCCTGCAATATTATTTTTGACTGCAGAATTGGGGGAGACTGGTCTTTCTTACAACTCTGGGTTGTTATTTTTATGTTTGTTGGTTTTTATTTTTTTTTTCTGTAACTGGTCTTTCTTACAACTCTGGGTTGTTATTTTTATGTTTGTTGGTTTTTATTTTTTTTTTCTGTATTTTTAATTAACAGCTATATCTATTAAGCTGTATATCTCCCAGATGTGGTATGCCACAAAGGCATGATTTGAAGCCACACATCCCTGGAATCTGTGTATATATGTTCTGGGAAACAAAGGCATTTACTTCATCTCTTTATATTTCTGCAAAAAAAATGCATTATATTTTAAGGACAGAGTTATTTTCATATTTTCAGTGCAATTTATACTGACTCTCTGCTTTGTATCTGTGGGATAGGGTTGGGTTGGTATTTTTTGTGTTTTTTCATGTAATTATGACAGATTTGGGGAGTTAGTTATGTTATAGTGACCTTGTCCACAGTGCCAGTGTTATCCCTTCACTTAGGTGGCAGTGAGGAATGCAGCAGAACTCACACTTCGGATTGGTGGATTTTCAGAGATCACTGAAATAGGCATTGATGTGGTAAGTGTGAAGAAATTGTAGCTATTGATAAGATTGGTTAAGTATTTTGCTTTATCTTGATGTTAAAGTGGCTCCTCTCTGCTTCATATTTTTCATTTCTTCCTAAACTAATTTCCCAAGAAGATTATCAAAGAGATGAACCTAGGAAGAGGGATTAAAACCCAAATGTGCGTATACCAGTTGCACTAAATGATAGCTGCCAGCTTTAGTTTTTGAACTGGACAATCTGGAATAAGTCTGTTGAAAGGGAGACGATTTCTTAAGGTAGTTATAGCAAAAAATGCAATAAAGGGAAAAGTAAGCTACCAGTCTGTTTACTGAATGATGAAAACTTTTCTGATGGTGTAACTGGACTTGATATTACTTGATAAACTCTTCTATTTTGTGTCCTGGAAAGATTTTAAAGGTAAGGGTTATGTGAGGCTATTGATTAACCAATACTGTTATTGTGTTATAAATTGTGAATCTTGCACAATTACATTTTTTCACATTATGTTCAACTATAAACTTAACTTCACAGTGTTTTGACCCGTTTTTTTTCTTTTAACTTACAGGAAGTATTTGAATTTGGTGGTCTTGCTGTTGGCGCTACAAAATCAATTCCATTTTTACTGCAGAACAAGGGACAATCTTGTACCAGAGTGGAGTTTGATTTTTCTACATATAGGGATTTTGAATTGAATGCTGAAGACAATTCAGGTATTTGCTTTTGCTATATCAGAATTTTTATTAAATAAATAATAAAAAAAATGCTGAGAGAAAATATGTCAGACCACTTCTGGTAGCCAAATTTTCTGATATAAGAAAACCTAAAGCAATTATTTTAAAAGTGTTGCTTAATATAAATTAAGAGGAGACATTTTGATTTGCCTAGAAGATGACTTTTGACAAAAATACATGCAAAGTGTCAAGTTGCCTGTAGATTTTTTTCCCTCAATTTTTCCCCCCCTATAGTTTCTAAGGTAGAATAAAAAATTTGAATAACCTTTAACCAGTTAAAATAAAATCTTAAAAAACCATAACAAACAAAGCCAAACAATTGTATTAATTTCCTATTCATGGACTCATACCCACTTTTTGACAATGTTTACCCTTTGATTGTTTCATCACCAGTATAAGGGTTCAGACTTTTTTCCTAAAGGGACATGGTGTCTACAGGTTAAAGACAGGCCCTCTGTGTTCTGCATGAATACCTAGCTCGGGAAGTTATTGGGGCAGTAGTGGAATTGAGTTCTTTTTTGCTTGGTAGAACTAATGCAGATTCTTATCCTGCACATGGTTGCTCATGGCTTTCCTACTTCAGTCATGGCATCTCCTTGGATGTTCCACCATCATTACTCACAGAAGAATTTTGCAGGGACAAGAGGCCTAACAAGCACAGCTACAAACTTGGGAATTCAAGACTCTCTTCTGCAAGACAATATTATAAAGTTTAGTTGTATCTTTATGTTGAACTATATGTGGATGATGCAAAAAATGATCTCCCAAAATTAGAGGGATTTTCTTACCATGTGGTGCACTTAAGAGGGAAGGGAAGCTGGGGGCTCCTAGTCAGTCACCTTAACTTGGAAAAGAGCTATAAGGCTCTTTACAACAGGCAAGCAGCCAGTGTGGGATCAGACTCACTGCACATGATCTCTGGATCAGTGTTTGTGCTTGAAACCAGTCATGTGATATCCAGTCAGGTTCAGTACTCAAATGGTAAATACTGGATGAATACCCCTGGTGTTCTGTGATGGATGCTGATCTTGGAGGAATATAACCTTTGCTGGAAACCTGTGCTTAAAATTGAACATGGAAGCCTGAAAAATGAAGCAAGCCTTATTAGAAATGCAGATTATGCCTAAAAGTAATTAAAAAAAAAAAAGCACAAACCAGTTTCAGCCAGCTATTTTTATACCTTTGGTATTAGTTTATTATGTAATTAACTATTTTAGCCTAACACTTTTAATCAAAGGTAAAGGACAATGTTCTGATTTTGTCTGAAATACTGCATTCTCCTGAATGAATAACTTCCAGGAAAATTTCTGGTGATTAAAACTGCCCAAATTTACCTTCAGAATCCTTATGAGATACTATATTCCATTGTAACTTTGTGAGAAATGCTTACCATGCAAATATGTAGATACTTGACACTGGAAATCACTTTGAAATACTGTAGCAATTGTAGATACTTAATGCAGTAACATCTGTTTATGAATTTTGTTTGGCAGTGATTGACCATTCTCGTTCAAACCCCAATTTGTATTCAATTACCTTAAAGGGAGGGTCATCTTTGCAATGCTTCTTGATCTTGGTGCCAAAAAAGGTAGGTTTATGGGACAGTTGTGGTTAAGTTTAATTAAAGTCATGTTCTGTGATATTTCTGTGCTGGGAAAATAGAGACTTTAGATGAACATTTTAGTATGTGCAATGGTTTTATAATTAGTAGTGCAATTTTTAACAAAACATATTCTGAAATAACCTCTTTATAACTTTGTTTGCATACACAAAGAAAATCCATTTTCTCAATGGATGAAAAATGGTTTAAACTAATACTGAAATGTCATACCACATATTCATGGAATCATTCAACAAAGCAGCAGCCACCTTCTTTTCGCAGCTGTTCTCGCCTGAATTCCCAGGTGACCAAGAAACTGCAAATGGAGGAGTTTTATGTGTCTTTATAAAGATTATAATCTTTATAATCTTTATAAGGATTGGCAAACTTGCTTTCTGGTTGAGCTATTTGAGTGGAAAAAAATTGAAGGCACAAGACTTAAATTACTTTTATATTCGAAAATTAGCATTTTATTGGCAGTAACTGTCAATATAGAGGGCTCAAGTGAATTTTAAATCCAGATCCATTGAAAAATGCTTTAGAAATTGAAGGTTTGGGGTTTACACATATTTGGAGAACAATGAACTGCAAGAAAACTTAGTGTATGATATCATAAACCAGCTTCAGAACAAGCAGCTGGGGATCACTTCTACAGCATATAAACCCATTGCATTATCCACACTTTTACCTTAAAAATGAATAACAGATATTATGCATCTTGATAGGGCCAGGAGTATTATTTTTCCACCACCACCCACCTCCTACCCGTGCCTTCTCAGCAGTATAAAATGGAATTCCTTTATTCAAAGCATCATTCAAATAATATTTGTATAATACAGGCTGTGTCTGATAATGTTGCAATTTCCTTCTCTGTGCACATGGAAGCTACTGGAGTGAGTTTATAGCACATACACTACTCTGAAATTATTTTTTCTGGCAGAATATGAGTCAATAGAGTTATAAGAAATTCCTTCTGCAGTATGGCAGGCCTTTACTTAAGGGAAAATGAATAGTTTTAGAATAGAACTATTTTTGAATAGTTGTTATATGTTTTTAAGTATCTTGACACTTCTAATACAAAACTCATAAGCAAAATAATCAGAAATAGACTGGATACAGTGTCAGGAAAGTATGTAATTGTTTGCAAAATGGTACCTACAGAATATCTCGAGTGACCTATAATCAAACTGGAGAAACTCAGCAAAGGAAAATGCTGGCATTCTCCTTTAAGTAGAAAAGTCAGTAATGGGAATACAGAGTAGATAATGCTCTTGGAATAATCTGTGTGTATGGCATTGCAGGCCACAAGCTGAACAAGAATTAAGAGCAGAGACTTACCATACCAATAGGAGCAATATTAATAAAGCAAGTAAAATAATTATTGTGGTCAGGGCTGATAACACTTCAGCTGCACACTTTTCCCATGTGGGATGCTATGTTTAAAGAAAGAAGTGGAACAATTCCACTTGGAAACAAAGTCCAAAATAAAGCAATGGAAAAGAGAAGAACTCTATTTCCTATTGTGACATTTGAGCTCTTTTCCTATTTCCTTTCCTTGTCAAGTTGCATGATAGAATAAAAGTAGAAATGTTGCTATTGACACTGCTGTAAATTGAAGTGACTAACAAAATTAATATTTCTGAAGAGTGCTGAAATACTAGCTCGCTCTCTATGTTTAATTTCGCTTGTCACCTGAACATGATGTTCAGGATTGCTGATCATTATTGATGAGCCTCTCCAACTGTCATTTTATACTGATGTACATTGGCTTAAGTGAAGATAAGGTTATGCCAGTTGGAAGTCTGCTTTAACTGTTGTATAAATTTGGAAAAACAATTTTTACATTTGACGGGATCAGTTTTGTGACTGTTCTTGAAAAAAAAACCCCAAAACCCCAAACAACCCCTAAAAAACAGAGCAGACAAGAAAAGGCTGTAGAATATTGCACCTGTTGACAACAGATTTTATTTTTATTTTTCAAACTCTGTGTCTAAGTGTTTTTCTAGTCTTAAGAATAATTTTGGCAAACAGAAATTACTTCCTTTAGAAGTAAGGGAATAAAAACTTCAAAAAGGAAATTTTCTTGGGTCCCCTTATAGCCAACTAATAAGTGTTGCTTTAATTAAATATTTTTACTTCAGTTTTGCTTCTGTGCTCAGAATCCTTATATCTCCCTTTGCCCTTGGTGCTGGGTAAGCTGGGTGTAGCCATTGCCTTTTTGTTTCCAGTGTGTTGCTGCCTGTCAGGAGCAGCTCACTGCTGGGCAGACATTCCCCAGGACCCTCACAGCTTCCAGCCCACTGGGAATCACAGGTGAGCACCTCTGAGCTGGTGCAGCACTATCACAGCTGGCCCCAAGAGCACTGACTAATGTTAAATGAAGTTACCCACTGTGGCATGACTGCAGGCAGCATCTGGAAGTATTTGTAGCCCCCAGGATGCTGTAGCTTTTCTGTAATTTTTGACTCCTGCAATGTAGAATACTAATTAAAAACATAGTTCTGTTAAGAAAGTGCTTGAGGTACCAGCATCTCTTACAGGGATCAGAAACTCTCAGTAGTTACTGATTCTTAAAACATTTTCCTTTGGATCTCAGCTCTTTGTTATTCTTTGTTAGAGGTATAGTCCCCATTTTCTCACCAGATTTCTTTCCTGATTTTCCAGTTTTGAGAAAAACCCCAAACCTCTAATCTCTCTGTGTTGAGCTTCCCCTATTCAGGTTTCACAGTTGCAAGTGCTATTTCCTGCCTCTCTGCATGTGAACAACTGTTTCTCTGATCTCATCTCTGTTTTTTTGACAACTGCTCTTCCCCAGCTTACCTCCCAGCTGCTACAAACCTTCTGTATCCCATCAGGTCTCATTCTTTTCTCTCTGCCTTCTGGTTTTACTAGAACTTCCTCCTGTTGTAGTCATTACTGATAACACTACCCTATAAACCAACAAACCTCCACGATACTGGTATTTTCTTTAACAAAGTGGATACTAGGGCTACGGAAAAGTAAAAATAATCCAGGAGCACTGCTAAAAACATAAAAAAACCCATGAAATTATTTTAATGTACTTAAAAAATTTATTAAAGCTGCTTGAATTATTAATATAAGGTTCCAAGTAATTTAGTCTTGAATGCAGTCTTCAATTCTGCCAAAAACTCCTTCAGATCAACAAATGTAGTACATACATAGGAACTTTGAAGAGCTGTTACCATTATCACTAAAATATAATATGTAGTAATATTAATACATGGAACATCAAAAGATGCTCTTAGAGATGAAGTATCTTGGCATGCTTAAAAAATAAACCTTAAAAAATGTTGAGCCAGTTCCTTCATTATTCTGAGTGAGAAAATGGAGTCCATGTATTATAGATAAGACTGGGATATTGCTCAGACACACTGTGTGCCTTGCTGTTATTCCAGTTTCTTTGAAGGTGTTAGGAGTGACAGGGCTCTGCACCTCACTGCAGAGGGTTTAACCTTAGTGTTTGGTGGCTGTGAAAGTCAGAGCTGTCAGTGAAAGCAGTATTGATATCATCTATATCTGTATCATCTGTATCTATCTGTCTCCAGGCAGGATGATCCCCTGCTCACAGAGGTCCTGCAGGGTCTGCTGGGGAAAGCATGCTTCAAAATTAGGGTTTTTTTTGTTTGTTTTTTTTTTTAAACCCTGTTGGAAAATAACAAATTCCAGCATCTTGTAAAAAGGACAAAATATACAGCTGTGTAATAATGAAGCCTTCAAGTGCCTTTGATTGAGATAAATAGAACAAGTCACACCTGTCAGAGCTTATTGCTTAAGCTTGTTGTAGGGAAGTGACAGGTGTTTTGGTGGGGTTTTTTCTCCTTTTAAATGACCTTTTTTTTAGTGAAAGAACAGATTTGTCGTGTAAGAAGTGAATTCTGTGGAAAATCTGCAGCTGTGGAATTACAGGATGTTGTTGTTGCATCATCTCTGACCATATACAAAGGAAGGATTTCATTTTATTGCAGTGCTTTGAATGATGGCTTTGAACAGCAGTTACATTATTCATTGTGGAAGCTGCTTATCTGTGATATAAACCTGGGGGAATGAAAGATTTCAGTATATCTTAAAGAAAGGCTCATGTTAAATTTGTGGGAAGGCTGGGAGTGTATATTGGGTTCAGTTGCAGAACCAAAACCCTTGGCTTTGCAGTTAGGTTTAAATTTGAATCAAACTGATTTTTTCTAATGTACATTACATTTTGTCTCCTTGTATCCCTGCTAAATTTGTGTATTGGAGGTATAAATAAAGAAACTTTAAGGTCAACCTTTTCATAAATACTTCAAAATACTTGAAAAATTTGCATGGTATAATATGATAAATACAAGATGTAAATTATCTTTTACAGACATTTTAATGTAATTTTAAGGAATAAATTAGCTTATTAAGTTATGTGAATTCCCTGGGAAGTTGTACTGTGAAAGAAAACATTGTAATTTTAGAGAGATCACATATTCTTTGTGCTAAACAAACTATACAGTTTCTGAATTAGAAAAATTTTATTCAACCTTGAGAATATATGCTCTATTAGAATAATAATTAGAGAATTGTATTTCGTGCTTTCTAAGATACGTTGTTGCCTTGGAATACTCAGTAAAGATAGAGATGAAGTAACTGCTTTGAAAGTGTTTTTTGAAAATAATACTTTTTTCTAATCTGATTGCCACCTGACAGCTGTGCTTCTGTTCATTTTTGATCCATGAATTTTATGCAAAATACTATTTGAGTTTAATACTTGATGTGGTAGTTTTTCCCAATTTTGTTTCTTGTCTTATACCAGGTGTTTAGGGCCAAGGCAGGAAGCCATTCAGCCACGTTTGCTCCCCAGTGTTGACTCAGAGCTGCCAAACTGTTTGTATCAAACCCATTTCATAAATTCAAATGAGTTTTGGTAGCAGAATTTTCTTAATCTGACAGATTCTTTATGACCAACCACATCTATTTGTTTATTAATTCTAGCAAAAAGAAAAACCAACTTGAAAGTATTTTAAGATGCCATCTGAATAAAAGTTTCTGAGACTGTTATTTTTATTTAAAGAGTTAACTTCTCTGGCAACCTGACTGGGCATCCTTTTTCTGGCATGCTTTGGAGGTGTTCCATGTCAGCAGGCAACAAAAAGCTCTTTTGTCTCACCTGTCTTTTTAAAGCTTCTTTTGAAGTACTTTAATTCTAAGACTCTCACATTGTAGATGAAGCCTCCTTTCCAACCAACGTGCATAATCAGTGTACATCGGGACAGGAAAAATGTTTCTTATAATGATATTAACAAACAGGAGTGTTTGTGAAAGAACAATCTCTAGGCCTATTCCTTCCTACTCTTCCCATGTTCCTATATATGTGAAGTTAAACTCGGCTTCAGGAAATGATCTCAATAGATAAGTACCTATAAAGTATTCATAAATTATCTATAAAGCAAGGATAAGTCCAGTAATAGTCTAAGGATTTATTTTTTTAAATATTGTAATTACTTTTTAAAGTGTGTAATCTTGCAAAATAGGGAATTTTATATTAATGAGTTTGAAAAATGAAAAATTAACTATAAAGAGTTTTTTTTTAATATTTATAGAAAGAAACACAATGATTCTACTTGCAAAGTGAAGTCCTAATAACTGAAATGAATTTTTAATTCTGTTTCAGCAATATGTGTATGTGTATGAATTATAATCTGATATCTACTTGCACAGAATTTTGAAGGATTTTTCATTTATAGTGTAATTTACATAATGTGCAGTTAATGTATGAATAAAATATCGATGATTTGTTCTCAATTATATAAATACATTTCTATGAGTTATGTTTGCCCTGAATTTGTGCCTTTGTACTTCATAGCAAACATGGGTTTTCAAGTGAGTGAATTGAGTCTGCCACGTATTTACTTTTATTTGCCAGTTCTTAGAAAATAAACCCCTTGTTCTATAATAAGTAAAACCAAATTTTCCTGATAGTTGGGATAAAAAACAGGTAATGATTTGCTGCTTTGAGAGAGGAATAAAGGGATTCCATCTTCTGCTGTCTGGCCTAAACATACCAGTGTTGATGAATAACAGCTGCAGTTCTAGACTGCACTCCTTTGCACAGCCAGTGCTGACGTGAAATCTGTAATAGACAAAACATTTTAATCTCACCAAATTTAATAAAATTTAGTTTTGTTACAAGAACGTATTTTGAACATGTAACTTGATGAAGTGTTTTATGTTGATGACTTGAGGTACTAAAAATAGAAGATGTATGTAATTCAAAGCAGGAGGTTTTTACTCAATCTTTTTTTGACATATCTTGAGCTTTAGTTACTAAAAAAGATTAAATGTCAATTTTGAAAAGCTGGTTATATATTATAAAATCTAATCATTATTAGCTTTGAAGAATCAATGTAAATCAAGGGACTGTGGTAATCTTGCTGCAAAAGCTTGCCCTCATTCCATGCTTTCCTTGAGCTAAGCAAAAGAAGGAAAAATGTTCCACAAGGCTCAGCACACACCTCACTCTTCAGGAGTGTGTGATTGTGTTTCACAGACCCTGCTGGAACACCAAACACTCCCAGTGCTGTGTGCTTGCTTCTCAGAGGGTGTTACAGATGGATATGATGTTACAGGTGTTACAGCCTCATGCCCTGGCTTAGGACACTTCTGCTTTTCTTCCCTTTTATATATATTTATATATTCTACTTGCTTCCACAGATGTGAAAGTGAAGAATGATGCACTATTTTCTGCAGGTTTTGAAAGCTTTTAAACGATTCATAACATCTTTATATAGCTGGTTTTACTGCTTTTTTCTAAGCAGCATGAAGATTTTATAGGTTTAATTCCTTTTTAAGATTTCAGTGGCCTTCAAGGTGAAAAGAGGATTTGAAGGACTCTAACAGTGCTTTTAGTGCAGAAGTTTTGGTTTGTTTTTTTTCCCCATTACCTTTATTAAGGTTCTCCATACCTTTTGTCTGGTGAACATGCTAACTTAGCGTGTTAGTCCTTGGAAAGACACAGTGAGAGGCAAGAAATATCTCTTAGTGCTTATTCAAATAAATTGGGCCTTTCTGATGCACAGTGTATCAAAAGAGAGGATTCTGTACAAAACACACCATTTTTTAAGTTCTAAACCTCACTTGGGAATGTGATAGCACATAAAATGAGGATCAAAATCACTGGAATTTAGACTCCTAGAATTCAGTGGCATTTCATGACAAAGGTTTTAAGACTTATTTTTTCCCCAAGGTTTCTCAATTTTAACTCTTGTTTCACCTTTGATCTCAGAGCCCATTTTTTTTATGCTGGAGGTACTGTAATGCCTGACCTTTGCTCTTCAGCCTTTGAGGAAGGCTTCCATAACTGATGTAGCTTTGTTTTCCCTCCTCTTTGCTCAAATAAACTTCTACATTTGGGTCATGGCTCTGATCTTTTTTCAGTCATGAGAGTGGTAGGAGTGGAACAAACACTGTGATTTATCAGAAGCCTTGTCTGTAGCTCTTCTGATAACTTTTGGTCATAGAGCTTTTCTTTAATGGGGAAAAAAATACTTGGGCACTGCTTACTTAGAGAACTGATTCTGAGTTCCAATAAATGAACATCCTGTTAATATCATGAACAGGTTCAAAACTGCAATAATTCTGCCAAAATAGCAATCCACTCAGATGGTTCAAGAGGTTTTTTGGGAAAGTGACCACAATATTTTTTTTTCCTTTAGATGGCAGCATATGACTTCATTCTCCCAATTGCTACTCCTCGAGCCAGTACCCCACCTCCAGTTCCTCCCGTGCCTCTGAAGCGCGGCGCAGTCGCACCTCATCCGCCCCCGGAGGCTCCAGCTCTTCCACTCTGTAAAGTCAGAGCTCTTGGTGGGTAACCAGGGCCTTAAAGACCTGCTGGATACATAGATTTGGAGTGATATTTTGCAAAATTTTCAAGTTTCGATTCATGTTTTTAAATATGCTTGAAGCTTAACTTTCTATACCTAATCATGACATGGAGAAAATATTTTGTATAGGCTTGTTGTAAAAGCCCTTTTTTTTTTGTATTTGCCTTATATAAAAATAGTTTACCAAAACTCTTTTTTGTGTCTATCCATTTATTAGTATTTTTAGACTACATCACGGAAATCCCAGTAGTTACAGCAGTTGCTCAGAAAAGTGTAGAAAAGTAGAATACCAGTCATAGTATTTTGTAGAATTCTCCCGTCAAAACTAGGATCTCTAGCTGCATTTAAAACTCCTTTGAAATGTGTCTGAATGGCCCTCATCCCATCTGGCTTGTCAGAGGTTGTTAATAGCCAAAGTTACAGGCCATTTCCCGCAGCAAAGAAATTGATATCTTATATAATTCTTGTCTGCTTTTCTCAGAAATAATTTGTGGTTCTCTTTAGTCTCCTGTCTTATTCTTACTGACATGTAAATCTATATATTGTGAATATTTAAATATACTGGCTTTCTTAATCTCAGTTTTTAATGTATAACCACTTTTTATTTGAGATGGCAGTGAAGTACAGAGTGTCTTCCTAGAACGATGTTTGTGTAATGTTCAAACCTCTTGGGAGCACTGAAGAAAGCTTGGCCAATTAAATATGTAATGTGGGGTAAAAGCAACTCAGATTTATTAGGATTTGTCTATATTTGTTTTGGGTTTTTTCTTTTACCTTTTTTTTTCCTCTGTAACTTTAAGTCTTTTGAGATCTTTCAAAAAAAAGATCAAAGAAATCTGAGAGACCTTCTTTAGATCGTGTCTATCCTATCTAGAAAGTAAATTCAGATTAAATGATTCTAAAATATATTTAATTGGACAAAATATAGAATAAAGGTGAATGTACATATGTATATGAGATTATTAGGAAACACATCTCTAAGTAAACATATGAATCCAAGTCACAAATTTATAGTGCAGAAGTGATTTAAGTGATGTAAAGAAAATGTTTATTTCCTTTTCCCTTTCTTTGCAGAATAGATGCAATCACTAAATTTCATGGATAATTGACAATCTTATAAAGTTTTTATAATTTTTATAATAGTAACAATAATATGTATTATTTTAATATAAAATACAGTATTTTTAAAGTTACTATGATAATACAAATTTTTATGTCTGCTGTGTAGAATTTCTTCAAAGTATATGTATCAGCCAACAAGAAGTAACAAAATATAAAACTGAATATATAATACTTTAACATCTAAGAAATAGTGGAAAAAATAGTGTGGCTCCTATTAAAATTTGAATATTGAAATTAAATTCTTATTAGGAATCTTAATGGTCTGAGAGGAAGCAGAGAAGCCTTAATAAGTCTCTTGACCACTTAGTATTTCAGATAATCACATGTGTGCAGGCAAATAGCCAGATTATTTTTACTGTTAAAAAAAGAACTTGATGAATTGATTACATTCTGACAACTTAAAAATTATGTTTGTTATTAAATAATTTCATATTATCACATTAAAAGCTAAAACTGAGTGAGATGTATCTTGCAAGTTCTAAGTTCTGATTTAACAAATACGCCTAACTCTCACTGCTGAATGCTTTCTGGCACATTTGTTTTCTGCCTTTAGAATTTTTATTTTCCTGGGATAGTTTTAGTGGTTTAGTGGAGTTCAGACTGAATGGGACAGTGTGGTTGGCACTTAAATCAATATCTTCACCGTGAGAAAAAAATCAACCTACTCTTGGGGTAGTCAGTCCAGTCTTTTAACTTCAGTGTAGTCCATATGTTTTCAAGCCATCAGGAATCTGGGTTCTTTTACACAAAATTTGGAGATGGTTTCAGCACTTGGGAAGGAAAGCAAGTATCTTACTTAAATACTTATAAGAATTTTCTCTGGGATAGTGTTTATCTGTATGTAAGAAAGAACTGAAAGAGAAAAATCTCAAAGAAGCCAGAACAGAAAACTCAACTGGAAAAGACACAAGTCTAATCTAGACCTGGTACAAAGAAAAAGTTTTTACTATCAATGTAGCTCATGGGAACTGATATATATTGTAATAATCCAACTCACAGTTTTTTTGGTTGGGTAGATAATCTGCTTTCCCTAACAGTTTTAGTTGTGCTGCCTGTTCCAGGCAGTTTCTGAGAGAGCTGATGACTTTGTGAGCTCAAAACTTAGTGAATGACATAGTTGTGTATTGGTGGAAGAGTTCCAGCAGATTCTGTTCCAGCTTTGAAACAATATTATGCCTATGATTGAGAAATACAGATAATATTGTTGTTTACATATTGTGATATATATGGTTGGGAAATTCTTTGGGTTTTTTGGTTTTTTTGGGAGAAGAGAATCGATCAACACTGGGCATGGAGCAGAAGTGCAGATTTTATTCAAAGAATCCTGTCTTCTTGCTAGATTCATTTCCAGTGTTGTTTCCAAGCAGTAAGATGAGGCTGTGGGAGCACATACCTCTGTTTTTCCAAACTCCCACTTTTGAATTTCATATGTTGTGATGATTTCTTTGTTGCAGCTCTATGAAATAAAGAGAAGTGCTGTTTATATAAAATCTTCCAAGTCTTATCTAATGGTTACTATCAGAAATGTAAGTGCATTCATCTGCAGAAAGAAGATTGTGTGGCTCTTGTGATATGAAGGAGAGGTGCTGTAAGTCTGGTAGATATAAAATTTAAATAACTTTAATGTGACTAAAGAATCATAATAAGACAAAATTAAATTACAGTAATTGTGTATATGCGAACAACAAAAAGGGGAGAAATATTTTTCCTAAGCATGTACAGTAAAAATGGTTTTATGACAGTACTTTGAGAAAATATTTGTCAAATGATGCTGATAAACATTTTAAATTGTTTTTTTCAATAGTTACTCAACAAGTATTGGAGTTCTCCTCGATGGAATTTAAATTTGAACAACATTCAAGTAACATGTGTTCCAGAACCGCTCGTGGGAGTATGAATT